CATCCTTTTCTATCAGACCTACATTTGTGCTTTTTGAAGGATGTACAGAAACTGGAATCTGAGTGGTGCTCTGTGTGGTTTTTGACTATGCACATGCAAAAGATGGGTAAGAAGAAGACGTAAAAGAAAAAGAAAAATATTCAGAAATATGCTTTGTAAAAGTTTTATGAAGAAGGTAATTGTCTAATATTACACACAATGATCCAGTGAAATTCCCATTAATTCCCATTAAAAGCAAAGGCAGTGAAGGTCAAAAACTCCACAGGGGACCTTTAACACGCTCACTGAGCAGATCATTCATGTCCAAGAAAACACAAACTAATGTTTCAGATAATCTCTTCATTCACACACATTTCCCACGAATTCAGCCTGAAGTATTTGGCATATTTGGAAACTCCACTAGAATTCAAAATGTGGCTTTAAACCACGCTCAGCTGAGAAGGCAACAGAACAGCATCTATGGATACACCTGTCTGAGCAACAAAGGAAAGCTCAAAAAATAACCAACATTTTGGACCATGAGCACTTCTCCCCTCTCTGCTGCTATAGGAAAATGCAGACATATACAGGGGATGCACTTGTTTAAAAATATCTATATATACCAGTGTGTGTGTGTGTGTGTGTGTGTGTGTGTCTATGTGTGTGTGTGTGTGTGTGTGTGTGTGTGTTGTGAATCCAGTGACTAGCCTGGCTTGGGTTACACTCTTTCTAACATGACGAAGAGGAGAAGCCGCTCTGGATGCACCTTGCTTGCGGGAAGCAGAGCGGCTGCAGGAATAAATAAATCTCCCCTGAGGAAAGTTGATACAGAAGCTCACGTGTCTGCAGCAGATGAATATCCAGCACCTTAATGGCTACAAAACACTGTATATGATACACACAAACAAGTGTCCTCTTCATGTGTGGAGGAAGTACTTGAAAAAGTAAACGCAGTACCACAGAAGAAACAAACTTTTACTTAAGAGCAAGGCATCCAAAGTAAAATTACTTATAGTGAAGAAGACTGAAGTTTTAAATGGAGAGGCATGAAAAGCTTATGATAGAAAAAGATTTACCAGCTGCAGAGAACTGTCTTAAAGCAGCGATAATAACGTGTATTTATTAAGAATAAAAAAGGACATTTTCATGTCAACATCCACTTTGCTTTGAGGCAAATGTGGGACAGCTCCGGCTGCTGCGTGGACATTACAGTTCAAGTGAGATGTAATGAGACCCGGTGGTGTCTGAGGAGAGAGGTGCAGCGCTGCTGTTGGTCAGAGGAGTCTTCTGATACAGATCAATGAAAACAACTGAGACCAGTGGAGCCAGAGACTCCCTGCTGATTCAATTTACCATCTCTGTAATTCACATGATCGCACTGCCTCTCAGCTGACACACACACACACACACACACACACACACACACACACACACACACACACACACACACTGTGGCTGTGGTGAGATGTTTCAAGGACAAATGCATGTGCTCAAAAATGGTTAACAAAGGTAATATTTCTGTCATTTATATCACATTAAGACGTGAATAGAAAAGAAGCGGTCAACACTGTGAACAGGAGCTGCCAAGGAAAGAATAATTGGAAAGTGTCCAAACTGAACACAACTGAGTAACTGAGCTTAACCTCAATGAAACACTGAATGACGATGGAGGGGGACGTACATGTTTATACTGCTGAGCCAAACCATTAACTCACACAAGGGATTAATAATACAACATTAACTAAATGTGTATTCTTGATTCAATGAGAAAAACAGGTAAGATATTAAATCAAATGGTAGTGTTGTTTTAATTTTATTAATGTTATCTGTACATAATAAACTTGAGTATCTGGGGAAAGGTCAAATCAAGGTCAAAGTGACAAGGCAAAAGTTTCAAAACACCTTCACTTTTCCAGCTGTTATTTCGATTTTCTCAACGTCTCAATGTTTTTCACTCATTCAGCAGCTGAACTCACTCAAATATTGTTCAGAAGGTTTGTCCCAGGACAGCTGCAGAAGTTCCCGCTACTGTCTTGCATTTGTACTTTGCTTTGCTTTCACCTTCTGTCCAGTAGCTCAGTGAGGTTTAAGTCTGGAGACTGTGCTGGTCTTCATCATGTGAAGCCACTGTCTGGTTCTGTCCTTAATGTTTTGGCTCATTATCTTGCTGTAGGATGAAGCCCTGCACCAACCAGTCTGTCTTCATTTGTTACTGCCTTTTTCTCTCCATTGCTGCAGGAAAGCTGGAAGTTAACCAGTTTTTTAATCCCTGAAAAAAGCCAGTTTTCCTTGAGGTTTACATGATTTTCCAGGTTTTAGGTTTACCACTTGCCTTTGTACCATTAAATGTTATTCACTAGACTTCAGCTACAGAAATTTCTACAATAACCTTTGACCAGTAGAGTGCTGTAAATGATCTGATTTCACAGAAGATGTAAGTGTGCATGAGCATCCAGTGGTGAGTGCAAAGAAACTGCCTCTGAGGCTGTAACACATGCCTTTTGTAGTTTGACTCCTCCGGACTGCATAAATATCAATGAAAACTGTAGTAGCCTTCATATAAAAATACAAGCAGAGTAGAGTCTCCATTCATTCAGAGCAGCATCAATTATTCATAAATGCTCCTGTCGGCTGCGCTGCTCCGGGGATCGATGCCTCTGTAATGTGGACTGATACGAGCCCCTGGTCGAGTCCTGGCTGCAGCAGGTTAATGGGTCGACTGGATTTCACCAACTGCTTGAGGCATTTCCTGCACAAAACTCTCCACCACACCCCACTGACACACTTTGTAAGACCACGGTAGGTACTGCAGATATGTGCAGGCCTCAAAACGTGTGCAGACTGTGGAAAAATATGGAGGTAACATCTTTACTGTCTGCAGGATTCTGAAGGAAAGCTTGGAGTTTAACTTTGTCGCTCCTCACTGGAGTCAGACAATACAAATGTAGGTGAAAGCTTTGGGGCTGAGGTGGGACATGCAACAGCAATCAGTACGGCTCAGTACAATCGATTGACACTTCTGTCAAATGTCCCAAAATGTAGGAAAGAGGTTAAGTGGTTAAGAAATGTAACAATGGATTTAATTTGCATAAGTTAACTTATCTGACCTAATTGTTTTTGTTTTCCTGGGGCGGCTGAATCCTTTCAGCAGAAGTTCCATCAGTTTAGTTTCAGTTTCTCTGCCACTTTGTTGAGTTTGCAGTTTGCAGTCAGATAAATTGATCTGGTTGTTTGCCAGAATGTGGCGTTACCGTCCTGCAGGGCTGTGTGATAATGTGGAGAGCATTAAATATTCAGTTAAGAGGAAGTTGAGTGTCACTACATTATCTGAGATGTCAGACATTTATTGATGACTCTCCTTTATCTGTTAGAGCTGAAAGGGCGCACACACACACACACACACACACACTCAAACATACACACACACACACACACACACACATTAAAACCACTGGGAGTAATATTATTTGTCTGATAGATGTAGTCTATTTGTTTCATGAATTATAGATCTTCCAAAATGTCATCCAGAGCCAGTAGCCCACGCCGACCCACACACTGTGTGTATGACATCACCTTGACAGATGAGTCCTTTTAACAGCACTTGCTGGAAGTTTTAACTGGGAAACTCAAAGGTTAATCAATCAATAAGTGAAGCTTTTTAAAATGCACAGTTGTTTCCTCTACTGGGCTGAATTTTTAATTAGGCAGAGTCTGCTACGCTGAAGCGGGTAAAGTTGAAGTCCACGCAGGCTGCTCGTAAACCCGAGGAATAATCTGTTTGCAGTTCGGCATCCTCCACAGACAGACTTAAACTGATTTAAAGCTCCACATGAAATGTGCTTTGATGCTTTAAGTTAAGCTATGGGCCTCTAATGAAATTAAAACACAAGCAGAAATAGAATTACAAGCAGAAATAATTCACTTTGTGAATGAAAAAGCACTCTCCGGCTGCTCTGGTTATCTTTTATCTTTTTCTTTTTCAGGAGATGGAATTCGTCAATGAACGTGTAAAGGAGATGTGCGAGAGAGAAGAGGAGGATTTCTCGCTGCCATTAACCTGAGACCACCCTCCCCTTACACCCCACCCACCCGTCTCCCAGATCGACCCTTCTCCACCTCCCTTCATTCATTCAGACCCGGCCCTGGCGGAGAGGAAACTGCTGCCCCCTCGGGGATTTGGCATCATAATTATATAGGAAGCAGAACAGTCTGCTGTCTGTTAGAGCTGGAGAGGCTGCAGTTCTGGTCACACGTGTCGGCTAATGTGCAGCGAACAACTGGTCATAACGTGGATGAGGAGTCTTCCTGATATTGTTTGGAAGGTAAGATAATCTCTTGCGTTAATCTTCAGAGAGTTGATAACAACAGAGTGATTACCAGCCTGTGATGTTAACCCTCCTGCCGCTCACAATCTGTCCAGTCAGATTAGATTGCTATTTCTCTCTGCTGCTTCCAAGTACAAATATCGCTGTAACAGACGAGAGCTGGAAGCTTTGGAAGCAGTTTAACAAAACTTTCCCCTTTAACCATCTTTGAACAATGAAGCACTAAAAGTCTGTAGCCTGAGTAGATGTTGAACTACTTTCTGTGGTTTCATGGAAACTGATCCATTTTTGTCTGCAGGCTGTTTCTGAACTCTCCAGTCTTAATCTGATTTATTGCCACTGGAGACAATCAGAAAAAAATCAGTAGTACTCCACATCAGCCTGTTAGTCTTGTACCAAACGATCGGATAACTGTCTTGCACACGCAGAAAGTTCTTGAAGGGTGTAACCAAATTTAATCACATTAATGAAGTGAAAAAAAATCCATGAAAATCAGGATAAAGAAATCTGTGTGGCTCTGAACAAAATATCTTAAGGGGGTTCTTTAACGTACAATTAAGGTCCAAGCTAAAAAGGAAAAAAAGTTCATTCAATTTCTCATATACACGTTGTTTCATAAATGTGTTAATTCTATGAGGCATGGTGCTATAATCCACTCTGACATCTGTTTTCACAGAATCAGAAGAGGAAGCAGCAATGTCAGAGAAAAAGCCACGAGCCTCAGACACACGTCCCAAATGCAGCTTCCGCAGTTGGAGTGCAGACAGTTACGTGTGGCGAGGGAAGAAACGCTCCCGGAGCTCTCGCAGCGGGTTGAGTCCCGGAGGTTTGGAGGCGGAGGGGACGGAGGAGCTGGGTGTGCGGTCAACATCCTGTCCGAGGCGGAGAAGAGAGAGAAAGTGTAGCTGCAGCACTCTTGGGGATGCATTGACATCTGCAGACATTGATGTAGTGTGTCGGAAGGCCTTGTCCCGGCGCTCTCTGAGGCAGAAGTTTCAGGATGCTGTGGGCCAGTGTTTCCCTCTGCGCTCTCATCATCATCACCATCATCATCACCACCATCCACCGGGCTCCTCACGACCCTTCTCAGTGCTCTTCTGGTCCAAACGCAAGATCCACGTCTCAGAGCTCATGCAGGACAAGTGTCCCTTCTCGCCCAAATCTGAACTGGCCCGATGTTGGCACCTTATAAAAAATCATGCCACACACCCAAGTGCCCTCAAGGACATGGAGGCTCCTCTCAAACCCAGTGTCTCATCTTCCTCTACCTCCCCACCACAGACCCCCCTTTCCTGGGAGGATATCTGCTGCTCCCCTGGGCCTGGAAGCACCAGTCTGGAGGACTGGGACCCTTCTTGTCCACATGGGGGAGCAGAGGGCAGCTGTGGCGACACTGACTACATCCTGGTTCCAGATCTCCTCCAGATCAACAACAGCCCCTGTTACTGGGGTGTGTTGAACCGCTTTGAGGCTGAGGAGCTTCTGGAGGGCCAACCAGAGGGAACGTTTCTGCTCCGGGACTCTGCCCAGGATGAGTTCCTCTTCTCGGTCAGCTTTCGGCGCTACAGCCGCTCCCTGCATGCACGCATTGAGCAGAACGGCAAGCGTTTCAGCTTTGATGTGCGTGACCCGTGTATGTACCGGGATCCCAGTGTGACAGGACTACTGAGACACTACAGTGATCCAGCCACCTGCCTCTTCTTTGAGCCCCTCCTTTCCAGGCCACTACTAAGGAACTTCCCTTTCTCCCTCCAGCACCTGTGCAGGGCTGCAATATGTAGCAGCACCACCTACAAGGGCATAAACAGCCTACCGCTGCCACCTCAGCTCAGGGAATACCTCAGACAGTACCACATTAAGTGTGAGGGCGCCTGCGCTGTGTGAGAGGCAAAACAGGCATCAAAGATTGGACAAGCAAAGGCTGGTTCTTTCGGCAAAGAGACAAGACTATTGCCATTGAAGATTTGCTGTTGTAAATCTTTGATATCTAAAAGGTGCAGAACTTGAGAGAGTTTTTTAAAGATGTTTCTTTATTTTACTGCATCAAGAGATGGAACAACCAAACCTACAAAGGGTCATCAGCCTCCTCTACAGGTCTGAATCCATGTACTGTAGGGACACATGACGATACGTCTTGCCTTGTACGTCATCATCAGTGCTAAGGGATGGTTTGAACCCAATCTGCTCACAGCAATCTTTACAGTTACTGGAGTCAAGGTCAAGCTGTGAGCTGTGATACACTGAGACACCTGCAATTAAGCAAACACACCACAAAACATTTGCCTTAATACCCTAGATGGAGTAGGGATGCTCAAAAATCACCAAGACATTAAACTGTAACCCTCACTTTTGTGGAATATTGACTCTTGAAGTTGGAGCACTTTCCTTTTGACCTCAATTCAATCAGACATGTCTTGTACAAGCATCTCAAATCTCTACTGGCCACTGGAAGAACTGCACCTTTTATGATACCTGGCTCAGACCAAGCCTTCCTTCATGTACCTGAAAATCATAAAATGTGGTGCTTTGCTAGGACCTTGTCCTGCACACTACTCACTGCTGTCAATGGTCACAGAGGTACAAAGACTCCAACTGCGTCTAGTAATATCCAAACATTATCACTGTTTCATTACCTTTCCAACTAAGCAACATTTTTAGACATCTTTAGACCTCTCCCCTTGTTGGGGTGAAGTGGTACTTAGTGGTCCTTTCTAACATTGCCGTATAGCCGAGAATCTGTTGTAGTCTAATTCATCCATCCATCCATCCATTAACTTTACCCACTTATCCTTGGGAAGTCGAACTACTCTCTCTTCTCTCAACAGACTTTCTGTGAGCTTTTATCTGGTTTAAAAAATGGGTTCAAACACTCTGTCGGCAGGCTGTATGGGTGAGAGAAAGACATGCTGACAGGAAAAGAGACAGTGTCACAAATGTCACCTCTTTACGCCTTTCAACGATTCCTCTTTAAAAATCACAGGTCAGCCTCTAATGAAGACTTAAACTCATGTTTTCTTCTCTGCAGCCACAAGATGGCAGCACAACTGCACTGATCAGAGGTTTGGGAAGCCTTCAACTGCTTCACTTGTCTGTCACTGTCTTTTCACAGTTCAGCTGCGTCTTTACCGTTAAATCTTAGCTGAAACTTTCTCTGTAAACTGGCATTTAACATCAGTTGTGCCTCTACAGCTTTCACAAGTATTGTTTTTGACTGTTTACACGTTTAGTGGAGTACAGTACTTTAAAGGTCTAAAGCACTACCTTCAAAGTGTCTGAATCACTGTGGTCGCCTTTAAGTATATATTGTATTCACCTCACTGATACAAACCAATAAATGCCATTTACACTGCCTCTGTAGTACGACTGTTTCTCAGGGGTTTTTTTTTTTTGTCATCTCTGGGCCGATTTAATGGTGCAGCATAAGTCATGCTTGCCCATGCCTGTTCGCGCTGCAGCCGTGGGCTGTGCCACAGTCAGACAGGCTAATGGTATGGAAAATGCTGCTTTTGAAGAATCAAACAGAAAACAATTCATCCTGCTCTCTGCTAAAGGACACCTCTAAATGCCAGCGCTTCAGCCGGGCAAATTGAGAGATAAGGACATGAAAAAGACAATTTCCCCCTTGTAACTGGAGTGGAATTCAGATTCATGTGTCATTCACTTTCTTTCCAACTAGCCCTGAGGTGGCTTGTATAAATACAAAACAGTGCATGAAATATACATCATAGTTCAGTTCTTGTCCTACAGATGTCAACATTTTATTTTAACATGCTTGAGTGAATTGGCTGATCTGTTGTGTTCTTTGTTCCATTTTATCCTTCTCTTCCATCAAAGCTCTCTATTTCATTATTATTCTTTCAGTTTGGGCAATTAGAGCTGGTTTGATCTACAGAGTTACAATGTTAGTTGCTTGGTCTTAGACTAATGCAATGTCAGACAGGTGAACCACATTGATGCTAATTCAAGCCTTGAATAAATTCATTTTAAGCCTGAATATTTTTCACGGAAGACATGATCACATGTCAAAGTAAAAAGCATGGGTGTAAATAACAGTGTTAATGATGGCTGAGAATATTTACCTGCTTCAGTTCCATAGTCCTGGTGTTGTTGTTGTTGTTGCTGGCTTAGTGTTACACTGCCATGGTTTACTGGGACACATTAATAGAACAGAACAGAACAGATCCACTGAACAACTGTTCAAAACATCTGCTGGGAAGAAGTGCAATTTGGGTTTTTTTTTTAACAATGTTTGATGAGAAGGTGAAAGAGCTTGGAGAGAAAAGAGTCAGCAGAAACCCAACTACATTAACTGTTAAATATAACAATAAAACAGGTTTTCTGCGTCAGAGGACAGAAGATATCAGCTCAATGATCTTAAAAAGAGATTAAATTTACCATAAATACAGAAACTTAGTCCTTCTTTAAAGGGAACTCCATTGATTTTACACAGAAATATCATTTAAGGCCCTCTGCTGTCTAGCTGTCTATAGCTGTCCAGCTGTCGTGTCCATTGACTCAAAAGCACCTTTGTTCATTTGTTCATTCATTAAAAAACACTTTAACTTTTTGATTATAAAGCAAAGATGCACTTTTTCCTTTTTGACTACAACTCAGCTTGTGAAAACAGCTGTAAGATGTGTAAGATGCTAATTGTTGCATTGTGGGAAATGTAGGACCCAACATTGAGCTTCAGGGACTAAAAGTCAGGATATTTCAGCCTGTGCAGCTTCTATCTTGACCATTAAAAACACTGTCTCTCGTGAGTCATCCATCTTTATGGAAGTGCAATAACTGGTGCAGGTAATCAAGAACTAGACTACTATGTGCAGCTGATGAACTTTAATGTCTATCTCACGCCCACTTGCCAGTATCTTTGTCTGCCTACATGTCAACACTCAGTCAGTGAGCAGAGTCAGGAGCCACATCTATTGATTGCCCTGAACCACATACATGAAATATTAATGTAACCTTGTATGATCTATTGTCGAGCATCATTTTTCAGCAGCTCAGAACCAACATGCTGTGTTATATTAGATTCGTATTACATTTGATATCCTTGGATATTAAATGTAATATGAATTGATTAGTAACAGTGAGTTTATCCTGCTCTCTGCCGGACAAGATAAAACAGGAAATACATTTACCCTTGTATGGTATTTCACTTTATTTCTTGGTTTGAGTTGTTTTAATTTAGGAACTTTAAATTTTCCATAGAACAATTTGGAAATCAGAGAAATGAAACATTGGTTTTTATGTTTTGAGATCATTCAGAACTGCTTTATACACCCATATGTAGCCTACAACACACGTATCAGGCCTCAGGCCTGTTGTACAGGTCCATACTATGATTGTCACTGATTCTTTTACCGTATTAGAGTTCAGTGATGTAATATTTAGACACCCAGCTGTTTGCCAGCAGAGTACTTCCTGTTGCGCTAATCAAATCCTCCCCTGAGACGCTGCTCAAACAGGCGAGTGGACAATCGGCCACCGGCAGGTTATGTTTGGCAGCCTCGGACAGAGCCAAGAGGTACATATACTGTATTAATAGCCGCTCAAATGACTAAATAATTCAAGGAAAAGCATTAGTGAGTGAATATTTGTCTTTGGGTGTTTTTGTTTGACCTATCTCCCTCACATCTGATGCCTTTAGGTGCTATTGGATACCCCCATGATGAAATGATACTACCTTGTCTGAGGTTTTCTCTGTGTTTATTACTTGACACAGAAGAAAATTAATGCAATTTGATGAAATATAAACAAATAGTTTAGATAGAGTAGCAAGATGGATGCTGGAGGACCTGTGACAGTTGATACTCTGTGTTAGTGGTAAAAATTCTCTAACAAATTAGTGATTAATTAAATTACATAGACAGAAATAGAGCATCCAGTTTCCCAATTCTGTACCCATGTCAATATTTAAACAATAAATATAAACTTACCAAATTAAATCTTGTCATTTTCAACAGTATTTGTCTTAAAAATCGCTGATTTGTGCAGTAATAGCACATATACTTTTCTTTTTTATTATCGGTTCTTAAATAAAGAAAAAAACATTTTTCAACAAAAATACCAAAAATGATTTTAAAAAGGACAAATACATATTTTTAGTGACAGACTTCTTCAGACAAACATTTCAGAATAGATATCAACTGATTGACTTGTTTTTTTTCTTCTTGCGTGGTTCAAATGTGGGAGGGCTTTCGACGTTTGCGTCATGACGTAGGTGGCGGGAGTTGTGACGCAGAGTTTCCTTGTTTTCAACGCAGCGCGGGAGATTCAGGAGAAGAGAATCGAGTCTGTGAAGTGGAAAGTTGTAGGTTGTCATGTTTCTCTCTTTACAGATTATAACCAGTCACATATCTTCTCCGTTTGGTGCGAGTTAAACGTGTCACGCTGTAAATACAGTGTGTGATTCCGACCGTTAAGTCTGAATTAGCACTTTGTTCTTAGCTTTAGCTCAACTCTTCGGCGAGCAGCCTAGCTGAGCTGCAGACTGTGTTGTACAGATGTGTCACGGATGTGTATTGTTCATACGTTAAACCTGGTTTAACGTGTTGATTTGTGTTTGTGCGTCTCTGTTCGTCAAGGCTGCTGGTTTGTGAAAATGCCTTGTGAGAGGAAGCCGATGCGCTACGGCCACTCGGAGGGTCACACCGAGGTCTGCTTCGATGACCAGGGGAAGTAAGTCAGATAGATCCATGAGCAATACAACAACACTGAGCTGCTCCAGTCAGAAGTTTACTTAAGTAAGAGTACAGAACCACTTTATGCACATTGTCTGTTCACTTACTGTGCATCTATTATTGTTACTCTTTATACTACTATTTCCTTTTTTTAGATATCACTTTTTCTTTCCTAATTCTGTATTAGTGCTGTTGTAA